ATGACTTCAATATTCTGTGGCAAAAAAACATCCAAATTTAAAGAGGAACATAGATTTGGTCTATTAAAAATAGCCGATGAAATTTACGCCTTAATTTTCCATTAGTCATCAGCCGATTCCAAAGCTTTAAAAGCGTCAAACTAGATGAGAGAACTTGTCAGTTCTTGAAAAACACTGAAAATGTATTTCTCGTTTTTGTTCGTTCTTTTCTTCATCAATCTTCAAGTTGAAGCTAATAATTCATGCAATGATGAATGTTTAATCAAAACTTATTGTATATCAAGTGATGGTTCTGGTGTTTGCTCAGCAAATAATCTGGTTACAGCTCAATTCAAAGTGATTTCAGTCTTTGGTAAATATGATAATCTCCAATTAACCCTCGAATCTTCCAATGTACCAGTCTATGCTGAAAAATTGATGAAAGTCAACATTCGAAGAGGTTATTCTCGTGAAAGTGTATTCACTTGTCATAAAATTGCTGATGACTTGGCTTATGCACAATTTGATGCAGACAACTACGCACCAATAACTTCAACATGGTCTGTCAAGGATGGTGTTGTATCCTGTACCTGGACTCTCGATATGCATGAACTTATCTGGCCACAGCGCGTAGATATGATAAAAGACAGTCAACAATCAATAACACTCTATGACGAATCACATAAAGTCACAGTTGCTCGAGACACTAGTCAACTTCCAATTTATCACGCTCAATACCTTAAGTGCTGCAATAGGGTTCATGGCAATGATGGTTTTTTGCTCACTTTTGACCAAATCGAACAACAAATACGCTATCGACTTTATTATTGGGGTCACAGTGGTAAACATGTGACTGTATCTTTAACGAGAAAAGATGGAATCGAATTAGAATTTGAATGTTATCAGGATTACGGTGTACTTGGCTACATAAGAAATGGTACTGAACGAATCTCTGTGGAGCAGCAAATTACACAAACAATGAGTTTGAACAATAATGAAGTATGTTCATGGGCTACTCCTTTTGTATTGGGCGATTCAAGCATCAGTATTGATGCATCTACCACTGTCTTTGAATTGAAAGTGAGAGAAGGCGATTGGACATTGTACACTGAAAAAGATGTCGTATTGAAAAACTCGCCAAAACTTTAGTCAACAAATGATGTGACAAAAAAGTTTGGTTACTGGTTTAAAACTATCGAAATCGTTGGGTTTTTGAAAACTTTATCAATAAATAAATTTAATTTGCATCAATTCTGTGTGTTAATTTCATTTTTACGTTCGTATTTATTTTTTTGGTTTCCTAATGTTTAGTGTTTTATGAATATGAATATAGTTAAACGATTCATTTATTTTACGATTATATGTATTTTAATGAAAGTGATAGAACTTTGACATTCGAGTCATTTTCGTTGCATCCTATGTTTCACATGATTTCATTTCGTTCATTCACACTCAATGTTTGCATAAAAAATTTTCAATTGTAATATTTAGCTTCAGTAATAAAATACTTTATGCTCAGTTTTTCAAGATTCATTAGGGTGCACAGCTTTGAGTTAAGGAACAACTTTTTACACACAGAACTCATTTTGCATGATCGGTAGCCTAGAAGCTGAGTCTAACCAAAATCTAGTAAAATAACTGCATCATTATAACTAATATCATTTTTCATATTTCAATTTTTTTTTCGGGAAATTTATTTACATATTTTAAACATGTAAATCAATTCACAATTCATCAATTAAAATTATAGCACCAATACATGTAACATAACCGCTTTCGCGATTATTACTCAATTATGGGAAAATCCCGATTTTTCGATGTCTACAGTAACATCAACATCTTATTATAAATTGGCTTTTCGGTTGCTTTTACCATAATCGGTTAGAGCAACACGAGAAATCAGTATCGAAAGGTCATTGGTGATTGCGATTTGCAGTAGCCTCAAGTTTAATTAAACTTCTGTAACTTTTGTTGAATATTTCATTGCAGAGGGTTTTTAACTGTTTTAAAATGTCGTTTTTAATCAAAAGTTACAATTCATATTGAAACGAATTTATCATAAAATTAAAAATTTCAATGCATCAAACGCTGACACATCACGAGTTGGAACCTCAAAACAATGCATGGTGTTTTTCATAAAATAGTCACAGAATGGATAATCCCTCTAACTTATTCACTTTAGATAAAAAATCATGATTTTATTTTGTATAATTGTGTATTTGCTTCATTGTCTCTTGCTTGTCGAAATTTCAATTAAAATTGAAAGACATGTTGCACAATTTGCAATGTCTTTATCTTTTAATGTTTTACTTACAATTTAGTACAGAAATAAGGACTGTCGATCTAACTACGGATGCTGCTCGATAAAATACATAATAAAAAATCATTTTAAAAATGACCAGAAAATAGTGAGCATTTGAAATGCTCCTTATTCATCAGTTAAGATAAATTCATAATTTTATTGTTATGCATGTAAACTAAATCTTTGTTCAAATCATTTGAAGAAAGTATACCATTTGGGAAACCGATAAGTCCATGAGCGAAATAAATGGATATATGGTCATTTGATCCAGAAGTGAGTACTTTCTTACCCTTGGCAATATCATCGTACATCATGACAATGTTTTCAGCAGGAACTCCGTGATTTCTCAAGACTTGATAAGCATCGCATCGGCTTGATGGCGATAATTTTTGTATGCATTTGATCCAGCAACCAGGACAGCATGGATATCGTAATCAGCAGTTGGTTTAAAACGCAACGAATCAGCCAAAGGATCGAAACTGAAAGCGTGAAAAGTATTGAGAAACTGATTAGAAATGAAAACATTATTAAAGTTTGGTGTTTGGTACTGTTTGTGAAAAGATGATTGGATGGTAAATCGCTGTCGTTTTTATATTGAATTTCCGGACTTATCGAATCAATCAATCCAAATCCTCAGATTAATCTTGTGTTAAAAAGCCCAAATAAACAATGCAGCCCATTAGTATCAAATGACATTCATTTCCATGATTCATCTCTTATCAATTGATTGTAATATTTTCAATATTAGTATATGCAAAAACTTTTTATGGTAACATAGTTCCGAAAAATTCTGACAAATGATAACCCATGCGATCAGTCTACCTTACGATGACAGCAAACATCTTAAGTTTTGATTGAAATCGATTACTGCGTTTTGGAGATACAGGCCAAAAGTCATGCTCATGGAAATGATCTGAAATATTGGACGAAAGACTTGTTTTATCAATGCTTGATTATCTGCGGATGTGAGAAAGTTTATGAAAATGAGTTTATGACTTGATACTAGAGCTGTATGATCACTAGGAAAAATTTTTGTTTATAACTTTATCCGTATAACTTTCAAAGATGAAGCAAGCGATTGAAGAAAATCAATAAGAATTGCTGACTCAACACCCATGTTTGTAAATTTTATGAGCAAGCCATTCCCAAAGGTTCTCAATAAGAGGAACTGTATTCAGACCATAGCACAACTTTGATCTAATTAGCCTCCCATTATACATATGATGATGACCTACGAGGTTGCATTAGATTACATTTGATAATAATAAAGGTCACTTTGGCCAGGTCAAGCTTTTTGAACTATCGCGCGATCTTCTCTTTCAGTTATCAACATTCGTTTGGTCTTCCTGAACTTAGCCTTCTCGATCTTTCAAATATCGTCCAACAGCATATTGACATTTATAACGAAAACAAGAACTCGTCACAAATGCATCATCAATTGAATAACAATATAATTCTGTTTTTGATTGCCATAGTTAATCCCCTTAGTTAACAATGCATCTAACAAGCAATCAAAAAACGATCAATCCACTTTCCTAATGCAGTGTAATAATAAAATACTAATAATAAACAGAGCGTGGGCGCAATAATCATTAGATTATTGATATGATAATAATTATTAATATGCATAATAATAAACTGATAAACTAAGTACTAGTAGTATGTACTTTACTAATCATCCACATAACAATACAATTATCAGGTTGCTTTCATCGATAATTTATAATTTGTAATTAAATACTTTCATATCTAGATTGATGCTACAAACAATTATTCACCCAATGCAAAGATTCATATGATGTTGGTTACATAAAATAAGCATGTACTTAATAATTCCCCCAACACAATATCATATCTAGATTGATGCATCAACCAATTTTCAAACTTTAAATACTAATAATTAGACATCGGCTAGGCCTTTTCTGGGATAAATATTTTTACCTGCACTAAAGGGAACCAAGTAACGGTACTCACTCAGACTAAATTGACTTTTAGCTGATTTAGTCCAAAATATTGAGAAAAACATCCTTGTTTGAAATTCTGACCAGAGGTCAAATGATCAGGTTATCTTGAATACTCTAGTAAATGAAATTAATGTATAGAATTGAAGTTTCAAAATAATAAAACCGTGACTTCAATAAAGACCTGTAACGTCAGCGTTTTATTAAATATGACCGCTAATGGCACAAAAGAAAAGTTTTTACAGGAAGTAATTAGTATTGTATTTGCGAATAAATTCAATAGACATTCTCAATTGGCTGCTCATCTTGTTGTCTTTTCCAAGTGCAATCAGCATTGGTCTTTGAAGCATCATGGATCTGCTTAACCTTTGAGTAAGCAAAAGGAGCCATGAATCCCAATGCAGCACCGACGAACAGGAACAAGATTATTATACCAAAAGCACCTGATCCCGTTGTTCCTTCAATTTCTTTAGTTGAACTGGATTCTTTTCGTTTATTTCCATTCGATTCCACTTTTAACTCGTAATTGTAACAATGACCTCCATCAGTGGTTTTTGTATCAGGACCTTTAACTGAGAAATGAGTCAATGAACAAGAACTTTCTGATCTACTTTTAGGGCAGTAATTAAATGATTTACATCCAGTTTCCTCGCCATCGGATAACTCATAACACAATGAAGCACATTGATCTAAGGTTAGTTTGGTTTCGGTCATCATTACATCTGATACTATTTTGTTGCCTGTTTTTTGGTATCTTTCAGATACTTTGGCTGAATGAATTACGAAAAAGGAAAGATTAAGATGGATTTAAGACTTGTTACTTGGGTTACTTGTAAGAATACTTACGAGTGTATATCATGCATTCCTCATCATATTCAGTAGCTTCATCTGTGTATAATAAATCACCGAAAGTACAAGAACCATCACAGTATTGAAATGATATACATTCGGATGAGGCATGACAGGCCTTTGCACAAGAATGCACAGAATCTTGTTCAACTGCAGTTGATTGCTGAGTTTTAAATTTTCTGTTGGACTTTCTTGAATAATCTTGGAGAATACTTATAGAATAAATTTCACATTTTAGGTCAGTTTCAACCGACTGATCCTTATTAGCAACATCAGAAGCCTGCAAACTGCTTACTCTACAGTCAATTTTACCATCATTGTTGCAGAATGAAAAAGTAATGCATGGAACTTGATCTGATTCATGACAGTTTCGGTAACAATCAGCAAAATTTTTTCCATCTGGTACCGAGAATGTGAATTGGTTGTCAATTCTCAACTTTGCATTTTGTCTGATTTGAGAAGTAATATCGTTTTTCGAGTCAATTTCCTTTTTAGTTTTGTCGATAACATCAATAATCTTCAAACGTGTGACTTTCAAAGAAAGAATAAGTATAATTGTCAGTTAAGTAAAGTAACAAGATGAAAAGTACTTACGATAGCTTCTGTCAAAGACATGGAATTTCATACCAACATCTTGCAAGTATGCATCATGAATCTGGTCAAGTGTTAACTCTTGTTTAACTCGATACAAATTGTTCAGTGGAAAGAAGTAGACACTTGCTGATTGTCCTTGTTTAGTATCTTCCTTGAGATCATTAGGATTACTCAAGTACCCACAGACAAGATCCGAAGGTCTGTAAATGACAACCCTAATTGTGAAGAGGAAAACAATTTATAGTTATAAGTTACATCGAAATGTCCATCTAGTCAAGAAATGATATATACTTGATTGTCTCTTGACTAAATTGTGATAACTTTTCTAGGCATTCGGGTTCATTGTTAGCCTTAGTTTTCATCATCTTGTCGAATGTCTCTTCACTGAGAGACATAGTTTTAGAGTTGACTGGAAAAGAAAAGAAAGTTTAATTATCGAATTGAAGTCAAGTGAGGTGAAACGCAGAAATCAACTTACATTCTAAATGTGGTAGATCAAGAAATGTTACTTCCATCTCGATTTTTGTATCAGTGAAGCGATATTCAATATCACTAATTCGCAATATACTGACAGGTTTAACTAAAAGGACAAAATAAAGGAAATCGGCTTTCAACCAGTAAACACGATCCTCGGTGTGCTTGATGCATTTGTTGTATGAGCGATCTGAAGCTAAAGAAGCAAATGAGCTACGATCAATATCATTTCAAATATCTTTTTCAGCTCATTTGATCGTTAATCGTCAAAGCTTTTCACAATCAAGAGTTAGCATGTTGATTAAGTATTACAGACATCGGTTTAAATCAACCATCGATACATTCCAAGACAACATAAAATTTCAACTACTCACTTGGAGTTCAACGAAAAGTACACAAATTTTCTTAAACTAACAATCGAACGATGTAGTTGTTACCCGTGGAAAATGTTAATAACTTATCAATACATACCATCGCACTCTAATACGAAGTTAAGTATCACTTTTTCATCGCTAGACGCGTATTTAACCTTTTCTGTTAATGAACGAATATTCTCGATAGATCGAACTTGTTGAAAGTTCATATAATCTCTTGTAATTCCATTCCTCCAAGTGTAAACTTTTTTCTAACGTTAAGACATGATTAAAAAACTAATATTAATATTTTGAGAATAACGAGAATTTAAATGAATACTTACCGATATATCATAATCATAGATGGAGATCTTGGTGCTGACAAGAGTATAACCATCAAATATGTCATCTGCGGCATCATTTTGCTGGCAATCCCCATTTGGATTGAAATTCGAATATTTATACAAAATAAGTAATGAATTCATCATCTAAAAAGCATAAAAATGACTTGTGTCTGGACAAATCTCACTTTTCTTCGTTTCTGTTTGTGAAATTTGTGTGTTCAATGCAAGTTACTTACCGATGAAACAAAAAATTGAGTGACGACAGCTTTATCCACCTTCTTTCCATTGATGTTAACATTATATTGCACTGATTCCCATGCTTCAGCAGGAATTCCAAATCGATGCTCCTAAAAGAGAATCATAAAAAAACGAACTTGAATTCAGTGAAAAAGTTTTTTCGTTATTTACTCACCAATTTGAGTCTCCCAAGATATTTAAAGTTAAGATCAAGCATGAAAAGATTATCCAAACTGAATAAAGCCCGGTCTAATCCAGGTGTATTCGAGTCTATGGATACTACAGCAATAGATCCATTCGTTCCGACATGAAATGAAACTCCAAGTCGATAGTCGTAAATAACTTCTGAACCAAGTAGTACTGCTTTTATCCTCAAAAAATCGATATTTTTTTCAGCATAAACCTAACAATAAATGAATGAGAATTGACAAATTTTAACTTCGAAATGAAAGATCGTAGTTCAGTTTCATAGTTGATTTACTGAAGATTAATTAGATTCGACTATTTGTCTTGTTACCCCTATGAGATGTTCATCATTCAGTTAATATCCAGTTTCCCAATACTTTTTCACTGATCTTTCTTTGACAGATAAACTAACCTTACTAATTGATCGAGACGCAGTTGAACCCTGGATTCTCTCCTCCATGGTGAAGTGAAGATGAGTAACCAACAAACTTGGCAATGGTTCATTTCCAGATAAGTAATGTGGACATCCGATTCCAAGTGGAGGCTAATCAAGGATAAACGGTGTTTGGAATAGGTTTTGGCATAAATTCATGTTTTTATTTAGAGAAGTCTATAATTTAATTTCTTGATCAATATTTTCTCCACGATTATAGCAGTAAAAATATTTAACTGAACATATACTTACATGCACCTCGCTTTGAACTAGATCTGAAGAAATGTCGACTCCAGAGTAAGTATCTGTGTGGGGAATAGAATAGATGTCCAAATATAGATTCTCTTTTCCTGGATATGGAACTGAAGTTCGATCATAACCACTAAATTCAATTCTGCTTGGATTTTCTATTCCAGATTGGTAATCAAGATGACCTGAGTTAACAATAAGAATGCAAATATTTTAAATTGTAATCAACTTAATTCAGGCGTTTTAACTTACTTTTGTAATAGAAAATAATTTTCAAATGTTCATTAACTTCTGTTGATGCACCTTTCATCATGATTCCTCTGATGTTTTTATCTGCAACTGATTTCTATTCAGGAACAGATAGAACTGATTAATACATTTGAATAAAAAGAATAAATAAGAACAGTTACCCAAACAAACGACGAATGATCGAGTCGGTATAATATCGAAGGTCCCATCAAGAGAATCAGGTTGAGTAAAGAATTGTCGATTCCAGGTAAAGTTTTATCCCAACCATTCTTGTAAGTGAACAGTAAACAATTTGTACCTTTGGATAGTGAAATGAACAAGCACAATCAAAAACTTGACTCAACTTGAACAGTAGACTCGAGAAAAAAGGTGTTCACTTCATTGGTATCAATTGTTTCAGAAACCAATCTCATCACATAAATCTGTTTATATCTATTTTTATATTCCACCAGTAAAATCAAAAAAACTTGAGTCTTCTTACCATGAATAACCAACCGTTCCTTGCTGTCCACACCAGTTTGAGAATCAGCTTTATAGTGTACTGAGTAGGAATCCTTGTCGTCTGAGATTAAAATTTTACCTTTGATGCTTTTTCCAGAAGCTGATATCAACTCTTGTATAAAATATTTTTTAAATCCATTCTAAGGGATAAAGTTAAAAGTTAGATTGATTGAGAATTAGTTGATTCTTCAACTCACGACATCCGTTAAAGTAGCATTAATCACTGGACCTCCATTAGGTACTTTTAATGGCAAGTCCACCAAGCTGTGGGTACTGACTATTAATTAAGAAATATACATGCATGTTAGCTTAAGACGATTGAGTTTTATTTTAAATTCTTACTTGTTGATATTGTTGTAAACAATGTAAAAACAATTAAAAGTTTGATTAACATTTTAATGGAGATGTAATACAGAATTAAATAGAAACACAGTTAATTGCAACAATTTGTTCCAAACTACTGTTGCTGAAAATGAAATAAATATTCATCAAATAGCCTTTTATACTAGTCAATAATATTGTATAAAAAGTTCCTGCAAAGTAGAGACGCCTTGAATAAATAAGTAAATTAATAGATAACTCATTTAAAATTAAAGATATTGAACTTATCAAAAACAGTTGATTTGGTTTATGATTTATGAATTTTTAAACAATAAAAACTAAAAATATCGTATCTAATTACTTGGTTGACTGTAATAGAAAAATTGATAAAACCTCTAAATCAATAGATTAGATAATATTTTATCATTACCAGAATCTTTTGGCTACCGTTGAAACTCTGGTAAGTAGGCAGCACAAGCAAAGGTTCTGGTTTTTTCTTTATGGATGAAACCATGCACAGTTCGCATTTCTGACCACATTCGGTCTATTATGGAGCCAGATTAGTGATGCACGAACGATGTTACTGATCAATACTGATAGCATTATGAATTTATCTTAATTGACGAATAAGGAGCATGTCAAATGCTCACTATTTTCTGGTCAATTTTTTAATGATTTTTTATTATATGTTTGTTCGAGGAGCATCCGTTGGCAGATCGACAGTACTTATTTCTGTACTAAATTGTAAGTAAAACAGATAGAAAAATATAATTACATTGCATATTGAGCTAAATGTCTTTTTAATCAAATTTCGGCAAGCAAGAGATGGTTAATAAGTCAAATACAAAGTTGTACAAAATAAAATCATGATTTTTATCTAAACTGAATAAGTTAGAGGGATTATCCATTCTGTGACTATTTTATGAAAAACGCCATGCATTATTTTGAGGTTCCAACTCGTGATTAATCAGCGTTTGATGCATTGAGATGATTAATTTTCTGATAAACTGGTTTCAATATGAATTGTAACTTTCGATTAAAAATGGCATTTTAAAACAATTAAACACCCTCTTTAATGAAATATGCAACAAAAGTTACAAAAGTTTAATTAAACTTGAGGCTACTGCAAATCACAATCAAGGTGTAAATGCAAAAAATTTCCTTTCAAGTTAAGAGTTGGGACTTCGTGGGCTTGAAAAGGCATAAAACTGAGTCCATTAAGACTTGAACTCGTTACATCATCACTTGGTTTCAATGTGAAAGGTAAACCGTATAACTTTTATTGTTCATCTGATGGCGATAAAATAGATAAACCAACTGGAATCGATACCATTTGGGCCAACTACGATTTTCGCTGCAACTGGAAACTAGATGTGACTGCAAATAGCAACCAAATTGCTCCAGTTACTAAAAGTTCAATAAGCATTGATTTGGCTACCATCGATGATGATGTTCCCATTACTTTTGGTTTTAATGATATCAAGGCCGTTGTTGCTCCAAATTTACAGGAAACACTTATTCATCAATTATCATTCCTTGATTGCTGGCAAGAAAATCAAGAATCATTTTATGATAGTGAAAAGCAAAACAGAGTAATGATGATGGAAAAGGAATCTGAATGGCAGATGGAAACATTTATTTCTGGTTTAGTTCCAGACACAAAGTCAACTGATCGATCAGTTAAGTTTGTCAATGCTCATGGAGTCTCATTGACTGTTTCGTGTGACAAGAGTTTCAGTACTTTGACTGGATTCGTTCAAAAAGGCGATATGAAAGAATCAATCGACAAGTTATTCACTTTCAAGTCACTTGATGGTTACCGATGTGGATTCAAGTTAACTTTCATAGTATTGCTATCATTAAGTTTAATTTTGACTCAAGACCATTTGACTTCAGCTTCAGCTCAGTTTCATGATTTAGCAAACCAAATCTTACAAGGGAAGTTCTGTGGTTTTATGCGCTTTGAAAAGTAATGATCGAATTTCGAGGTAGAAAAGGACAAATATCCATTGAATTCATTCGCAAATATAATACAATTACTAAATTAAATTACTTATATCTAATTACTTCCTTTGAAAACTTTTCTTTTGTGTCATTAGCGATCCTATTTGAAAGTTTGTTCAAGTTAGGAACAAAACATGAAATTGAAACAATCTTGAGTGGATGGAAAGCATTGGTTGCAAGCACTTGGGCAAATTTTTTCGAGTGAATTTAAGATTAGTTGAGATTTATTGAAAGACAATTTTATTGATATTCTTAGTTGCCTGAGTGAGTTATAATATTTATTGACAAATTTTGTCAATTTTGCTGATTCAAATTAATTTACAGTAACCCTTTAGACAACTGGATATACAGCATCTTCAGCAACACCACACATGTTGATACCTCGGTACAATCGGAAGTAACCATTTTCACCGAAATCAGCTCCCCAACTGTTTTTGATTAGCCAGTAAGGAGTGCCATTATCAACACCATAACCTACAACGGTTACACCGTGGTTGAGAGCCTGAGGCGAGCATACGGTTGACTTTAAAACACCAGAACTTTATTCAAAGTGTGAAAATAAGTGATTAATTGCTCATTCGATCTATTTGAGATGATCAATTTGTGAATGAAATTACTTACTGATATAACTGCAAGTCAAACTCAGCATCTACGGCAACTGAAACAACTCGTTGAGCGACGGCTTGAAGAAGGGCATTCTCATTACCTTGCGGAATATTAACGTATGATGAGATTGAAGCTCCTCTTTTGGAAGCGGAGTATTTGCATTTACCACTGTCGTCTCCTGCAGCAGAAGTGTATGGATAAGAACTTTCGGTAGCAATACCTTTGTTATCTATAACATATTGGAATGATAAGTCCATACGACCACCATTACACCCCTTATTGTGGTGATCCCAAGAGCATTCAATCAAATTTTCCTCTGAAAGCTCAACCAATTTACCAGTTTTTTGGGCATTTGCGGATTCAATGGAAGCTATAGCTGAAAAGGCCCAACAACACTTGCATTTAGCTTGATTTTTGACTTCGGTTACAATTCCTTTCGTTCGCCAGTCAACTGAGGCTGGAAGTTGAACAGTTTTGTTGACATTGTGGACAACAGGGGTAGAGTAATGACTCTTTTTGAAGCCCAGATAAGCTGATTTAAATTCCTCATAGGTCTATTCATTAAGAAAAATATTGTGAATCAATTTATTGAATAGTTTACTGAATAATGAACTTACCAAATCAGCAAATTTATTGACTCCTAAGCGATAAGTGTGTTCACCATTGTTAGCTCTTTCATTGTGGGCTTTGATTTTTTTCAAGTTGTTTAAGAAAACTGTTTTCCGCCAAGCTTCTTCCCTTTCGTCCGCATAAACCTTGTTGTGCTTGGCCTATCAAATAATGAAAAGTCAAACGGGAAATCAGCTATTTATCAGCAGTTTTGCTCGTTAAACAACTTACCTTGAATGATTCCCATTCATTTTCATTGGAAAAACTGGCAGCAGAGACCAAGACAAAAAGAGCGATGAAAAAAGTTGTTCGAATCATTTGAATTGTTAACTGTTTAATACGGTTTGATGGATGAAAATTATATAACTGTGATCATTAAATTATTTGCAAGTTTTTATATTGTTTGCTGATTAGCTGACAGTCTAACATGATTATTCCATGCTGTTGGCATTTCGATTGATTAAATCTATTGAATAATATCTTCCATCCAATAGCGGTAATCAGGAAACTATTAATATTCAAAAGTTGGTTCAAAGGTAAAAATTGGTTGATGCATCAATCTAGATATGATATTGTGTTGGGGGAATTATTAAGTGCATGCTTATTTTATGTAAGCAAAATCATATGAATCTTTGCATTGTGTGAGTAATTGTTTGCAGCATCAATCTAGATATGAAAGTATTTAATTACAAATTATGCATTATCGATGAAAGCAACCTGATAATTGTATTGTTAGGTGGATGATTATTGAAGTACATACTACTAGTACTTAGTTTATCAGTTTATTATTATGCATATTAATAATTATTATCATATCAATGATCATTATGATTATTGCGTCCACATTCTGTGCATTATTAGTATTTTATTATTACACTGCATTAGGAAAGTCTAGAGATGGAACGTTTATTTGATTGTTTTAGATACACTGTTAACTAAGGGGATTAACTATGGCAATCAATTCAAAACAGGATTTATTGGACAAAAACAACAAGATCGAGAAGGATAACCTAGGTCAGGAAGACCAAACGAACGGTGATAACTGAAAGAGAAGATCGCGCGATAGTTCAAAAAGCTCGACCTGGCGAAAGAGACTTTTATTATTATCAAAGAGATAATCTAATACAACCTCGTAGGTCATTGAGCGAACCTCGAACTCTTAACTCGAAAGTAAATTTTCTGCACGTACTCCTTGATTGTGATTTGTAACAGCTTCAAGTTCAATCAAACTTTTGTAACTTTTGTTTCATATTTCATTGCTGAGGGTGTTTCACTGCTTGAAAAAAGTCATTTGTAATCAAAAGTTACAATCTTTATCGGAATGAATTTACCAGAAATGAGCTATTATTAGCACTAACCAGTTATCCAACTAACAAACAAGTTATCTAGCTTTACAACGCGTGTCTGACTGTTTTTTTAACTTTGGATTGGTGAATGCAATTAGTTGGTTTATACCAAAATACTGTTGACATTCCAGGTCTTCTAAGTTATCGCAGTTGTCATCAAACAATCTTGTAAAAAATAAAAAGGAGCCTGAGTCGTGAAAAAATTGCACAAAAAACGAGCCAGCAATCCTAAACTAGTGTCATTACTCAATAATCCTAAAACGACCCTGATATGCAAGATTTGAGGCGCTGAATCGATCCTTTGAGCAAATTTAAATTCAAAGTTTATTGAAAATATGAAATTCAACTTTCAAATCATTGCCAATTTCACGAAACCTTAATAAAAGTGCATTGAAACTTTACTCTGCTTACAAAGTTTTGGTCATGCAAGGATCTGCAATGAAAAATAGTTTTGCGGGGTCAAAGACTAAAATCCGAGAGATAAAAGGGCTTAGACCGATCGCTTTGTGTGAGATGAGCATATTTATTCTGTTCTTAATTCAGAATAAAAGCTACAAAGGCACTTGTTTCTGTTTCTGAATATCAAAGATAGCAATGCAACAATATGGTGATTCAGCACTCTCATGCTGCAGTTGTGACGATAATCTATTCGATAAATGTTTCATTTTAACAAGAAATCAATGCTGATTATTTTGATTAATTACACAATTTTGTCTGGTATATTTTTCGTTGAGTTAAATCCAGGATTAATTATATTGGGAATACAATCAAACGTTAAGATATTTATCATAGAAATCAATGTCATTTGATACTAATGGGCTGTTTTGTTTATTTGGGCTTATTAACACAAGATTAATCTGAAGATTTGGATTGTCTGATTTGATAAGCTCAGAAATTTAATATAAAAACAACAAAGGTTTACCATTCATTCATTCATTCAATAAATTTTTCATCAACAGTACCAAACACCTGACCTGAATAATGTTTTCATTTTTAATCCTTTTCCCAATACTTTTTACCCTTTCAGCTTCGACTCCTTTAGCTGCTTCGTTGGGTTCAAAGTCAACTGATGGTTACAATATCCATGCTGTCCTGGTTGCTGGGTCAAATACATACATCAATTATCGCCATCAAGCCGATGTTTGCCATGCTTATCAAGTCTTGAGAAATCATGGAGTTCCTGCTGAAAACATTATTGTCATGATGTACGATGATATTGCCAATAACACTGAAAATCCTTACCCTGGTAAAATATTCAATGCTCCTAATGGTCCTGATGTCTATGCTGGTGTATCAAAAGATTATATTGGTGATGAAGTGAATCCTGATAACTTCCTTGGTGTACTTAGAGGTGACAAAGATCTTGCTGCCAAGGGTAAGAAAGTACTCACTTCTGGACCAAATGACCATGTTTTCATTTATTTCGCTGACCACGGAGCTCCTGGACTTATTGGTTTCCCAAATGGTATACTCTCTTCAGATTATGTGAACAAAGCTCTAGTTTACATGCATAACAATAAAATGTATGGTAAACTTACATTTTACTTGGAAGCTTGTGAGTCTGGATCAATGTTTGAAAACATTTTACCCGATAATATAAACATTTATGCAACTACTGCTGCCAACTCTGTGGAATCAAGCTATTCATGTTATTATGACCCTAAGATTGGTACTCCTCTTGGTGATCAGTTTTCAGTTGCATGGCTTGAAGACTCTGACTCTCATGACTTAACCAAAGAAACTTTGGCAAAACAATTCCAAGATGTCGTGAAACAAACTACAATGTCACATCCACAACAATTTGGTCAAAAGTCTTTGGCTAGTCTAGAAGTTGGTCAATTCCAGGGTGAAAAGAGTAAGAGTAAGATTCACATTCCAAAGAGACATTCGAGAGATTTGATAAACGCTAGAGATGTACCTTTAGTGATACTTAGACGTAAAATAGACCGTACAAATGATGCTGCTGAGGCTGCTGTTCTAGAAAAGAGATTCGAAACTTTGATTGCTGGTCGACGATTCCTTGAATCAAGTATTAAAAAGATCGTCTCTCAGCTTTGTTCCTATGGTTATTGCTCAGATGTAAAAAGAGTCATGTCAACTCGACAACCATTGATTAATCATTCAACATACTCAAAAGTAGCTGAAAAGTTTCAATCAAGTTGCCTTAACTTGGGTGTTCACACTCATGGAATGAAATTCATGTATGTTTTTGCCAATCTTGTTGAATCAAACAACTTCACTCAGTCAACATTGGACCTTTTCTTGGAAGATTTGGAGAGAGCTTGCAATAATCACATTGTTAATCATGGATTCGAAGCTATTATTTAAGTTAATATAGTTCAAATCTACCGATCGTAAGACTAACTAACTTAAAGGTATTTGTTATCATCATTGGTAAAAATAAATATCAAAATGATTAAATGTAACCTTCAATTTCTTTGTCTAAGCAATAAATATTAATTTAATATTCCAATTACTCAATGCAGTCAAAAAGCCAATAGCCAACTTGGCCCGAATTCGAGAATAGATTTATTTTATTGTATTTATTGAAAAGAAACTAACTTTCAGTCTTGATCGAAGCAGGTTCTAGTTTAATGTGTCTTAATCAGAGTCTTAATTCAAAATAAGGTTTGGGTCATCCAATAAGCAGTACTTAAAATCGTGGTTAACAGGAATATTCAGTGTCCTCGTTGCATTGAATGTCATCAGCTTGGTCGATTCAGCAGTTACACTTAGGAATCAGGAATTGTTTTCATCTTATCCTCCTTGTGATCGATAGAGTGATGTTTGTGGCAATCATCCAACAGTTGTAAGTTGTTCTTAACATTGGTTTTATTGCTCTCAAATTGGATTCTGCATTGAATTTGTAGTCGTAATTCTTGGAATAAATACTGTTGAGCTGGAGAGTTCTTCATTTGCTTTAGATTTTAAAGCTTAAGCATATGAAGCACTCAACAGCACTGCAGATTAGCACAACACCAAAGAAAACGGCTTTCGTTATCGGCAAGTATCTTTATGTTTGTGGAATGTTATAAGCAACAACTCTAACCAAAAGTGCGAATACCCGAACAAGATTCAGATGGTTTTCTGCGACAGAATGTTGAGTTTTTTGTTCGCTCAGACTAATTAATGTCAGCTTTGATTAATCAAAGTTAAAAATCCATATCATCCATCCATATCAATGCTAAAAACTATGTGTCTTGGTTGGTAAAAAGATTTAAATTGAATAAATGGTTTGGATAGTTTAGTGGACCTGAAACATGTACAATGAATGGATGTCTCATCTAATACCAATCCAATATAATACAAAACTTTCTTGATTGAAACATTCAATGCATGAATTTATTATAACAAATGATAAAATATTATGCAGAAACAATGTACTCAGCTTCATGCATAATGGCTGATTGTGATCTTTATTATCGTGTTATGATTAAATAGGTATGTGTGACTATCAACACTTTGAATGTAAATATTTATTATTTATAATAAAGTTCAGGGCAAAAGCTTTGAGAAAATTTAAACTTGCGACAGTTCACTGATTGAAAGGGCGCATAAATTGACAATTTTTTTGAAATTTGAATCGAAGAAAACAAATGATAATTCTGAATCTGCATTTGGCCGATTCTGGTTAATGGAAAGATACAACAAGCCACACAATTTTGATGCCATTTGATTTTGACTGGTTCTGACTGACAGAAAATTTTAGCTTAAAGTGTCACAATTGTTTATGCATTTCTAAACATTCTTCGAAGCAGCATTTAGTTGAATGGGCAAACAAGCAATTTGATTCAGTTTCAATTGAATCACAATAAGTTTTCTTTGATAAAATTGATCAAACGAAATTTTTCATCATCATTTAGGTGCTTTTATTGGTGCAGTTTAAGAAGGGCGACAGTAATCTTGATTCATCCAAGCATAAGTTATTATTTTTGTTAGTATCGGTAATTACTTGTAATATTAAGTGATTCAAGGCTAAATTCAAATAAAAATCTAATTCCATGAGAAGCTCAAGTTTGGCATTGCCGTCAATAACTTCGTCAATAATTAACATCTAACTAACCACTTTAGCTAACTCGCTCAAACCAGCAGATACACTCGAATTCTCTATTGCAAAATCTTGCTATTAACTATTACCAATCGGTTTTGATGCATAAATGGTCTTCAAGCCTTTCTTAGATTGGACATCTTTGCATTTGATTCATGATAGAATATCATAATAAGATCAATTTCGAATTCATCTTAACTTACATTTCCTGAACTTACTAACGCATGATTTTAGATTTTAAGAACATGTGTACAGAAATCACCTTGCAACTGCATATGGCGTGTGACCAGCTAATGGTAGACTAATGGGTTAATCGGTCTCGAATACATATCCTTTCAAAAAATGACCTCGATCGCTGCGTTTTCAGTCTTTGGCCAATTTCTAAGCAACTAGATATTCTAGAGAAACATATCTGGCTTTTGTTTCATATTTTATTGAAGAGGGTGTTCAGATCTTTTGGCAAGTCTAATCAACAGAAAAAATCCATATTCAGAAATCAACAATGACTCAGATTCTAATTTATCACATGTTAACACCCCAAAATAATGTACGTCTTTCGATCATAAAAAAGGTTACAATCAGAATCGATAACCAATCTAATATGATTTGAATTATCCATTGAATTTGAAAAATATTTAGCTCTTTTGCATTTCAATAATGGATTAACTAATCAATGATCAGTTATTACAACCAATAATATATTTAATAATATAATTGATAACCAGAATGAGTCTGAATTCGCCAACTTTCATGTTTATTACATTCAGTATTAAACTCGTTCATTTTTTACTCTGTTTTCAAGTGATTCATCAAAAGTTTAGTTTCAATTTTCATTGCTAATTCCCTTGTGATATATTCAACTGACTCAACATTGACTTTGAATCTACAAGCTAACCATGGAAAGTACAGAGAATAGTATGGAATATCCAATAAGCAGTACTTCAAAATTGTGGTTGACAGGAATATTCAGTATCCTCGTTACATTAGATGTCATTACAATGATAAAACCAGAAGTTACATCCAGCGGGTCAGAAGTGGGTGTTACTCTTATCCGCCTTGTCATCGATGGATTCATGTTAGTGGCAATCATCAAACAGTTGAAAGTTGTTCTCAACATTGGTCGAATTATTCTCATGTTTGGTATCGTGTTCGGTGTATTGGCATTTCTGGTTGGAGCAATTGGTGCTGCCGATAATATTACAGAAGCACAAAGAGACATTTTGATTACGAACGCCGTTATCTTTGGTTTAGCGTTACTCTGCAGTGGATTTATAGTCGTGCTTCTTGGTAGTTATACAGCTGAATTGGCGAATAATTCATATGCATAAGCTGCAAAATATAATATTATAGATGAACTATTTAATAATAAAAAATTTATTCATGCTAACACTTAATAACACATGTAATTTAATCTAAAGGCTTTAATCGCATAACAGTTTAGGGATTCAATTATTCTTGTGCCAAAACTCTAATTCTATTTTTAGCGAGACTCTAAAATAATCTGAACCTTACATTAACTAATTCAGCTTGCAAATTTTCTCGTGATTTTTTATTTTTTGTGAGTTTGCTGTCTCTAAACGCAAGTCTGTCAATAACTTGGAGTCCGATTTTTCTCAAAAGTTCAAAAGAAAATCACGTTCCATTAAAATATGATTGCCATACTAAAGCTACATTGTTGATTCAATTGTTACTGTTAAATACACTGTAGCTCAAAAGTTTAGAACTGGAATAATTTTTGATGACGAGACGAAACCTGTGAGTGAAATAGCAAAATCAAATACAGTCACCATTGAGATAATGCACTCATTTTTGCAATTGCCCCTATTAAGGAGGAGTTACAGCTACTTTTGAATTTGGTCAAATTTTGATTCGATTTCTTTGATTATCAATTGACTTAATTCAATTTTTTTTCGCGAAATATCAATCAAAAAACGCGCGAAATCAACTTAAATCAACATTGCAGGTTAAACTTGATCTATTAAGGAAGATTGAAATTAATAAATTACGCTGCCCGAAGAATAGTGAAAATAAGCTATTCTCAGTGCGGTGCATTACATGGTGTATCTCAATGGTGACTGTAAGGCGAGTGACATATCATTCAACAACATTTTGATTGACTAATAAGAATAATCTTTTTCCTTTCCGTTGGCTAATAATCCTTCACATTATTGTATTAGTAATGTGATATTGTGATAAACACCGTGTATGGCAAGCTACATCTTTTTGTTTCTTTTATTATGATTTATGCAATTATCTTATTTTTTGATAAATCGCTTTACTGGGTTACACCTTAACATGTGAGTGATGGTTGAATTGGCTGAGAATTACCAGTTACAAATTGCATATCATTTCGCTTCTTTTGCATGGAAAATATAATTAACTTTGTTTCTTTGTATGCTGGAAATGAATTTCACTTGAAGTCACTTGTAATCTGTTGGTCTCAATTTGACTTTTTCATCATCTGGTGCTACGTTATAGCCTTTCGGGGTTGAATGAAGATGTTCATGTGTACAAAAGTCTGGAATCACTTTGAATTGAACAGTAACCGAATTACTGTCATGACTACTCACCGTCATTGTTCATCCATCATAAGATTTTGATAACTTTTCGCTGCATAAGCAATCTGCTGATGTGTTATGATAAAAATTTTAATTATTTTTCAGGTTGAATGAGTAAATCTTGATTGACAATGAATCAAGAAACACATGATGAATATGACGATTTTGTTTTCACTATGTTAAAAATGATAACCTAAACACGCACTTTGGTTATGGTTTGTTAAATGCAATTTGAATTGAACCAAATACTGTCGACATTTCAGATCTTCAGAGTTAACGCGGTTGCGATTAATTACTTTTTTGAAAAATCAAAAGCAGCCTGGGTCGATAAAAATTTTGAGCCAATAATCCTAGATTAGTATTTAATACTTTAGTTCTCATAATTATGCAGGATACGAGGCACTAAATCAATCTTTTGTGTGGATTAAAATTCAAAGTTTAGCGAAAATATAAAATTCTCCTTTCAAAGCATTGCCAACTTACGAACCTGAATAAAATTGCATTAAAGTTTTTCTGTTGACAAGGTTTGGATCATACAAAGATCGCCGTTTTCTCAGCGAAAAATAGCCAGTTTTACTTGTCACAGATCAAAAATTGACCTTAGCTTAGACAAATTATTTTGTATATTTGTGTGAAATGTTTAAATTTATTCAGTTCTTACAAGGGATGCATGATGGGTGATACGAAAATTCTGAACTTTTTTAGGGCTTAAAATATTTTAAAGTTTCAACTTTTGCATAGTTTAAGACTATTGAAAGCAATATGGATTTGTTTAAAAACACATTTTAAAATATTTCACCATAACATCATAGATCAACATTACTGGTCTTAAGAATTTTGACCTGCGATAAAAAGCTTTGACAACTT